GCCAGGATGGTCTCAATCTCCTGACCTTGTGATCCACCTGCTTCGGCTTCCTAAAGTGCTGGGATTACAGGCGTGAGCCACCGCGCCCAGCCACTGTGACTTCTTCAACCTTCACCCAAACAGCTAAAGAAACATCCCTCCAAACTAGCTGGTCTCACTTAAATTCATGACTCTCAAATACTGTTTGTGTTGATCACCAATGCTCTCGGACGTCCTTAGTTCTGCACACTCCTCCACTCACCCCAACAACTATTTTATTATCCTCTCTCCTCCAACCTCCACCCCCTCCTCCTCTCTGCTCACTCTGTTGATGGTCTTGCTCTCAACTTCATGGAGAAAATAGAAGCAATCTGAAAGAATTTCCACATGCCCCCACCACCTACCTGCATCTGTCTCCATATACTCTGACATCCCTCTTGTTACTGTACATGAACTGCCTGTGTTCTTACCTAAGTGAATTCCTTCACCTGGGCACTAGTTCACATCCTCTCTCACCTGGGTAACTTCAGGGCTCCCCAATTCTCTCCATCTCTTCTGCATCATCAGTTTGCCTGCCTCTATGAGAGCATTGTCATCAACCTCTCTCAGATCTTAAATAAATAAGTAAATCACCTCCCTCAACCCCCTACATTTGCCTGCTTTTCTTTACTGAAAACTCTTCAAAAATATTAGTCTATCCTTGCTCTCATCACTTCTCCTCTCATTCTGTCTTGAACCCACTCTCACCCCACCATTCCAGAATCACTCTTGTAAAGGTCACCAGTACCCTCACCACTGCCAAATCCAATGATCAATTCTCAGTCCTCATCTCACTGGCTCTGTTAACTGCATTTGCCAGTTTACTGGGTTTCTGGGATCACTCACTAGCTTCTTCACCTCTGCAATGGCCACTCCTTCTCGGTCTCCTTTGCATCCTCCTCATCTTCTCAACATCTTCCTCAGCCCCAGGGCTCCATCCTCAGACCTCTTGTCTTTTCTATCTTCACTCACTCCTTTCATGATCTCATCCAGCCTAAGTTTTGGGAATGCTAGCTGTAAGTTAATGACTCCCAAATTTATATTTCCAGTCAAGCTTTCTGCCTGAAATCCAGATGCGTGTGTCTGGCTGGGCATGGTGGCTCATGCCTGGTAAGCCCAGCACTTTGGGAGGCTCAGGTGGGAGGATTGCTTGAGCCCAGCAGTTTGAGACTTCAGTTTTGTTGTTCAGGCCTGAGCAACATAACAAGACCCTGTCCTTATTAAAATCAATAATAAATAAATTAATTTAAAAATAAATTTGGTAGTACCAGACTTGGGTGTCTGACTGCTGCAAACTCCTGATCTCCAGCCCAAATAGTCTTCCTTTGTCAGCTGTACCCATTCCAGTCAATGGCTAGTCCACCTGTCTAGTTGTTTAGCCCCAAATCTTGGGGTCATGCTTGATTCTCCTCTTTCTCCTATAATCCACATCCTGCAAATTCCGTTGCCTCTGCCTTCAAATTCATCCAGAATCTGATCACTTTTCACAATATGACCTCTAACACCCTAGTTCAAGCCTCCATTATCTTTTGCCTGGAGTACTGCAATGGCTTCTTTGTTTGTTGTTGTTGTTGTTGTGATTGTTGTTGTTGTTGTTGTTGTTGAGACAGAGTTTTGCTCTTGTTGCCCAGGCTGTAGTGCAATGGCACGATCTGGTCTCACCGGTGACAACTTCTGCCTCCCGGGTTCAAGCAATTCTCCTGCTTCAGCCTCCTGAGTAGCTGGGATTATAGGCGTGCGCCACCAGGCCTGGCTAATTTTGGATTTTTAGTAGAGACAGGGTTTCTCCACGTTGGTTAGGGTGGTCTCGAACTCCTGACCTCAGGTGATCCACCCGCATTAGCCTCCCAAAGTGTTGGGCCGCAATTGCTTCTTAATTGGTCTTCTATTGTGCAGCAGCCAGGGTGATCCTGATGGAAAGAAAATGGAAGCCAGCTAAGTGTGATGTATTATCCCAAACTGGATTCTGAAACAGATAAACATCAATAGTGGTAAAACTGGCAAAGTCTGAATAAAGTCTAGAATTTAGCTTATACCAGGGTACTAATGCTGGCTTCTTAGTTTTGACAAATGTACCATGGTAAGGTATAATGCTAAAACTAAGAGAAATTGGGTGAGTCATATTTGGGAAATTTCTATACTATCTTTGGAACTTTTCTATACATCTAAAATTATTCAAAATTTAAAATTTTATTTAAAAAATGGAAGTCAGATTTTGTCATGTCTTTGTTCCAAACTCTCCAGCGGCTCCCATCTGATCTCTTTTTTTTTTCCATCTGATTTTATTCCCTGCATACTCCCACCTCATTCTGCCACATCCAAACTGGCCTCTGAGTTGATCCTTTCTTTTGTTTTTTTTTTGTTTTTTGTTTTTTTTGAGGTGGACTCTCATTCTCATTCTGTTGCCCAGGCTGGAGTGCAGTGGCATGATCTCAGCTCACTGCAAGCTCTGCCTCCCAGGTTCACGCCGTTCTCCTGCCTCAGCCTCGGGAGTAGCTGGGACTACAGGCTCCTGCCACCACACCCAGCAATTTTTTTGTTTTGTTTTGTATTTTCAGTAGAGACAGGGTTTCACCGTGTTAGCCAGGATGGTCTCGATCTCCTGACCTCGTGATCCACCTGCCTCGGCCTCCCAAAGTACTGGGATTACAGGCATGAGCCACCATGCCTAGCCCTGAGTTGATCCTTGAACACATAAGCATGTTCCCTGCCTCACGATCTTTGCAC